AACAAGATGATTATTCTTACACAATCAGTTCTTGTTTAGTAAATCAGTCTGAAAACAAGATCAAAAAGACTTTTTGGCTGATATAAGGTTTTAAAACCTGGTTAGGTGGACAGGATCCTGCACCAAACACCTGGCACCACACTGACTCATTCAGGTGAGATGATGTAACTGTTGTTTGAGCTATAACCTATTTAAAGTTAGGTTCAATACCAATAGTGTAATGCTTAAATAATAGAAGTAGTGTCTAAAAATATATMATTTAAAAATAAATATGAATCTGACATGTAAAAAAGAATCATATGATGTATAAAGTTGTTCTTTTGTTTGAACACAGATCTATATAATATGACTGTAATATAAATATACATGGATCACAGAGGTTCTGTACAAACCGTATAAACCTGTAACAGAACAGTGAGGTTCCTCTGACGGCTGTGAGCTGAGCTCAGCAGGACTTTCTTCATCAACACATACCAGGTCCAGGATGTAAAATCACTAAACTCTGTGTCAAAAACATAAAAAAAGCACGTTTTCTGCCTGTATCTCCTCCTCTCTGAGGTGAACACAACACTGCTATAGGTTTTCTTCATGTCTCCAGCTGGACAACAACAAACTGAGGAGACAAAGTCACACAACATGGAGCCGTCCCTCTATCAGAACCACAGCTAGCCTCGGAGCCCACTCACATCCGGGCCTCAGGTGTCAGCGGGCCAGCGTGGTGATCAGACTGGCACACATCTCAAAGAAGTCCATGGTGTGGGAGCCCTGGCGGGGGGCCAGCAGGGGGGAGCTGCTGCACAGGGATCCTGGCAGAGAGGAGCTGAGCTGAGGCAGGTCCACTGCTGGGCTCACAGAGTCCATGCTCAGTCTGGGTCTGTGCAGACCGGCTGTGGAGCCCGACCTCTGAGGAGTAGATGATCCTGATTTAAAGCCAACTGCCTCGATGATGTCATCTGTGGTACCGGGACAAAAAYATCAGAGTTTTATTAGAAACTGAAGCTACAGACATGATGACTCATGTCCTGTCTCAGACATTAAATCAGTGGGTCAGGTCTTTGAGGACCATCATCCTCCATGTTTTAGATCTTTCTTCARCATGATCCACTGAACCTGGTGTTTGTGTCAGGAACTCTCTTTAYTTTTCTGTTTTCTGCTCTTCTTCTKATCTGATTCCTTTGTTTGATTCATCCTTTCAGCTTCCCTGTCTTCAGTTGTGTCATCATCCACCTGCCCTCAGCTAACGCAGCGTCACACACAAACATAATCAAGTCCATCTTTGTCCTTCCAATAATCGTAAAGATGTCCAGATTATCGTGATGGCTCTAAAGATAATCTGAGCACATATTCCTGCCCTGAGT